AAGCACTATTTGAAATGCTGGGCACTTAAAAGGAAGAGAAAAACAAAGTTTTTGTAAATCTTTCAAAACACAGTTTCTTTAGCATTTCTTGATCATGTTTGCTATAAATTATTAGTTCAAGAAGAAATCAACTTTCTTGGGCAAATCGTGTTTTTCACAAAGAAGTGTGTTTGCTTGAGCAGATTTTTTATCAGAAATTATTACCTAAAAATGCCACCATTGAAAAAAAGTGTTCATTTTTACAAATTGGGACACAAAAAATGCCACCATTGAAACTCATACTTGGGAGCGGCATAACCGAAGGTACCAATAACACGGGTCGACACATGAGTTTGATCTCCCGTGGGACCCATCTTTGCCAGTCCAAAATCAGAAAGCTTTGCATTAAACTCCTGTGGTGTGGATTTTCTCTCAAGTTTTAGCAATATAACTCTAAAATTGGATTTGCATAGGCAAAGGAACATCACCAAACAGAATTTTAAAGCAGCAGTAAAATGAATTTAGATTATCATCGAAAATTTGGCTAAACACGCTTGTGGAATATCCCATAAGACGAAGTTCAACTGACCCCATCAAGCAAAATGTTTGAAGTTTCTCCACACCATGAAGAAAAGCAAGCCCTTTTGCAGCATCAAAGGCAATCTTCAATCATTTATACCACGTTAAACTGGCACGTACTCCTACAAGTTATAAGTATAATAAAATGTCAAACTAGAGTAAGATCAAACGACCACTTTGCTAGAAGTTAATAGTAGGCAGAACATCTATAAATGCAATTGCAATGATTTGGACCTAAAGAAGCTTATGCCAAATGTCTATTCTTCGGTATAACTAAATTTCTATTGCCATTAATGTCTAGTTTTGCTTCTATCTGTAGCTAATGTACACATACATATCATCTTTTATATCTAGCATGACTATACTCTCTATCCACTTTGATGGGCTTGGAGAAAATTTCACGCATATTGAAAACATTACAATTAATATACTTGGAGTTACAATTTTTTTTTTCAGGCCTTTCCTAATTTTCTTGCATTATATTGGACAAAATTTAAAATAAAGATGAAATTTGTCGGAAACCGAAGTAAGTTGAATACGGTATGCTAGTCAGTTGTTGGTTGATCAACACTCCCAAGTCCCAACAAAGAAACAAGTCCATAACTTGGGATCAATAAAAAGAAAAAAAAAAGAAAAAAGAAAAAAAAGGCCTATTTTTCTTCTTATAGTAATGCCCGAAAGTAACCATGTGAAATGAATCAGAGGATGCATTAAACAAAATAGCAGTTTTCAGTTGTGTTACGCACTAAGGAAAAGATGTTTCTCCAAGCTCCCGGACACCATATATTCATAGACCAATAACCTATGGTCACCCTCACAGCAGTAGCCAATCAGCTTCACCAGGTTCGGATGTCGAAGCTGGCCTGAATAATTGACCTCTGCCTGCAAAATTCATCTTATCCACCTTCAGAATTCGAATGTGCAGTAAATGAAGAATTATCAAATGAATATACTTTACGATATGGAGGTGAATCAATTTCTCTGTTAAAAGACAACGAGCATAGTGAGAACATTTTGAAATGAGAATGATCGATTTTCAGAGAGTGAATGGATAAGAGATGGAAATATAATGCAGAAAGTGATATGATATGTTAGTTGTTTAATTTACGTGACTAGGTGACCCGTGACTGGCAAAATTTAGGACAAAATTGTGTAATAAATATTACTGATTTGATAATTTTGTGAAAAATAAGTTGGGAGTCGGTGGAAGAAAAAGACGAGTTAAGTTAGATTTTGAATAAAATTCAAACCTCGGAAAACTCTCATCTTAAAATCATTTCGAGTATCTCCCTAGGTACCTTCAGACCATATTTTTGAAGTTGGTGGCTAGAAATCTAACTCAATTACAACATACAAACTTCCCAGCAGCACAAGCAATTCAACAAGTCGAATTCTTTCCCATTCAAACCCATTTGATTCCTCGATACCACAAACTTTGCAAAATCAAATTAAAATGATGAAAAATATTTACCAGCCATTCTCGGTCTCCTTGTAATCCATGGGGATCAAGCTCTTTGATTGCCACTGTGGTTGACTTATACCTTGGCCTCACATAATCGTCTATAACTCCTTTATAGACAATACCAAAGCCAACTTCATCTCTTCATATGTGAAGATATCAAGATCACCATTCCCTGGACTTAGACGTAAATCTTTTATATTTCTGGGTATTATCATGATTGAGTTCGAACTGCCAGTGTGAGATGCAGAATCTTCATGCAAGCCTGGTAGCATCAAAACGAAAAGAAATCAGCACGTGAATCACAAATTATATTTCGCAATCATGAAATGAAGTATTGCTGGCTGGAAACAAAATAAAAAGAAATAGTGCTATTATCTAACTGAAAACTAAAAGCATGGTTCCTGATACTGCTTCAACTTTTTTACTTCTATTTAGCAAAAGAAAAGAAACAAATTTAGCAAAGAATGTATTGTTTCAGCATAATAACTCCAAAAGACGCGCTGTAATTGTAGCTATTCGGCAGAGTTCGGAATTTCTTTCTCTCATTTTACAAGTGCCGCCCACCAGCATTGAACACTGATTAGAGTCCAACATCCAGTTGCACTCTTGGCCTCTAGCTAGAAACTAGCATATCATGTCATTCGTGTCACATATTTGATCAGACGACAAAACATTCCAAATCTTCAAGACAAAATCAGGAAATAACATTGTCCACATGCTAACTTTTATTCTAGAGCAACTTCAAAATTGGCATCCACTGACATGGAAGGCCAAAGATCCAAGTTTCAGTGCCAAAGATAACCTTAACATAGACCTGATTTCAATGTTCAAATCTCATTTCAAGAACATATTTGGACAGAGTTGAGAAACTATTAAGATCATACCAAAAAAAAGCATGTACAGTCAACTCACTTGGTTTATTGCTTGAAGATTTATTCTCCTCTCCCTCAATACTCAAGCAAGCTCCTATTTTTCCTCACTCGGCCCAACGCAGATTCAGCTCTCAGCGTCCATATCTCAAACAAGAAAGAGAACTCCTTTTTTTTATTCTCTATTTTAGCTAATTTCATTGCATTGAAAATCCGAAAAACAAAGGAGGGCTAGCAAGAAAACCTCCGGGTCACCAGAAAACCCAAATGGTCTGTCGTAAAAAGGGAATCTTCGGCCAGAATATGATCAGTACAGCCGGAATATCCTCGAATGAAAACGGGAAAATGGAGTTTGCATAAGTGTTGCTAACAAACAACACAAGAAACGAAAGCAAGAGGCGACTGAGTGGGTTTATATTACTAAGAAGTAGATGTAACGTTGTTTACTGGAAATTGTTTGTGCAAAACCAGTCGAATTATATATATAGTACACTACCTTCACTGAGGCTTCAGAATCTTGAAGAAATTTGCAACATAAATGAACTTTGCCCCGTTGCCCACCAATCGGCCAGTTGTCCCTTT